GGCCCGTAGGCCAGGCCAGGAAGGGAGCAGACCTGTCGAGGATTAGTGCAGAAATAAGTGAGAATCAGGCAGGGAGTCTGATGAGAAAGAAATGCTGTACGCTGTATCCTTCTCTCTGGAAGCAATTACGTGTGGTACCACAACTCCTTGAGTAGAAACCTGAATGGGTTTATAAACAAGGATTTCAAAGTGTTTTTGTGATAACAGGATACAGGGATAATGGAGTCTGGTAGCCACTTCTATGAGAAAAGTGGGTACTTCAAAGATACCCATTTCTTGAGAAAATTAGGTATTAAAAATTATGGCAGTGCAACAGAAGAGCAGGGAAACGGAATGCAATGAAATAGAAAAATAAGAAACATGTTTTCTTCCCTTACCCAGCAAAATTACTGTTTCGTTTCCCCCTGTGGCATTTTCAGAATGTCAGGGAATTGTTTATGCCCACTGGATCTGACAAGGGGAGGGTGTCAGGGAGGTGGAAAGAGGGAAAAGAAGAGAGGGAAAATCAGTCACCCTGGAAACAACCCCAAAGGAGGGGTCAGCATCTCCGTGGCCCCTCTCCTCCACATCCATTTCTAACTCATGCCCTCTGCACCACTTTGGCCTTCCCCATTCATGTGGATTGAACGCGGTCCAGTGGGCATTTGTTGCAAAGAACCCTGTGCTAGGTGTGGTATAAGATACAAGGCTGATGAGTTAACAATGAGGATGATAACTGGGGATCAGATGACCCCGGTACATTTGGAGCTCACCCGTACCAGGCCTCGCTAAGCGCTTCCCAAACAGAAGCCCTTAGTATCCTGGAGAGTGCCAGGGCCTCTGGAGCCTGGGTTAAATCCTGGTCCACTTCAGAAAGTTATTTGACTTTTCCAGGTTTTATTCTGTCATCTGTAAAATGGAGACAATAATGGTACCCGTATCAGGCAGGGTCCAGTCAGGATTTAACAGAAAGAACTGGTTTCACGGGTACTCCAGGGCTGAATGAGAAGGAAGGGAGTTTTGAAGCAATCACAGAGGGTAGCCACAGCAAGCAGCTCCCACCTCTAAGGCTGAAGGAACCAAGGGAAGAGGCCTGGACGGCTAAGAAGCTAGACCTGTAGAGGAGAAGACCCCTGAAGTTTATGGGGGCCTGTGAAGCTTGTTATAGAATGTGGGAGGACAGTGGAGGCTGCATCTGCTGCTGATGCTGGGGGGTTGGGGGGTGAGGGGATACTGAAAGGCAAAAAAAAAAAAAAAAAAAAAAGCAAACCCAGAGAAAGGAGGCAATGCCCCCCTCTGGTCTTCCATCTCTCTCTCTCTCTCTCTCTCTCTCTCTCTCTCTCTCTCTCGCCCCCTATTGGCAGAAATTAATAGGAAACTTGCATGCAAAGAAGAACTGCTTTGCAGAGTCTAAGCACCCGCCATACACCAGAGGATAAAAAAGTAGATCTAGAGCCGAGAGAAATAGCTTAAAAACAAGCTCAGTATTTTATAAAAATATGATGGCATTACATGAGTTGATACTTATAAAGCACTAGAACAGTGCCTGGCATGTGGAAATACATTATAATATGCTTTTAAAAAAACAAATAAATACATTAATCCACCAAAAACCAATGTAGGAAGTCATATTAGAATCCCAGTTTTATTCACGAAGATGAGGGGGCTTACAGAGGTCACATAAAGTGCCCAGGGTTATACAAGCTCGTCACTGGTGAGGTCAAGACTGTCTGAATGCAAAGCTGTTGCTTTTACTTCTCTGAGCCCCTTTGAGGTACAGAAAAGACAAGCACATAAGTCAATTACTTCACAGAGAAACAGACTATAAAAGCGCAATAGGACAGTTGCAAATAACAGACTTTGGGGAGCATGCGGGAGACAGAAAAGCCGCTGTGGGCTGGGGAATCTGGGCAGACTTACCTGCTGGTGGATGTGGTGCTTGAGTGGAGCCGGGGAGAAAGGATAGGGTCTAACTGGCAAGTGCCAGAAGCAGAAGAAACTACTTGAGCTAAGTCCCAGAGTGCAGGCATGCGTGCCGAGTCTGAGGACTGGGACAAAAATGTTCCTGATCGTTCTCCTTTGGCATAAACAGTGGAGTTGAATTATCTCCAAATATAACATAATTTAATGGGAATTAAAGAGTTCTTTTAGGGCAATCATGAACATGAAATGTGTAGAATATTACACATTTGTGAAACAATGGGATTAGCCAAAAATTAATGAATTTTTAATGCACCTCCATTTTTTTAAACCCATACGTAGAGACATTAAGATCTGCTTACAAAAGACAAATGGTCTTGTTTTAAGATAGCTGACTGAACTAAAACTCTTAATTTGAAGCTATTACGATATCCTTTCAGCAGTACACCAAATTTGGTTTCAATCAAGTCCACTTCTTGGAAGGTTATGCACATATTTGGTTCACTTCAATTTTATTTAATTCAACAAACTGAATGCATTCTTGGTGCCAGGTGCTGTCTCAGGTATTGAACATGCAAACAATTGCAAATGGTGGTTCCAGTCCTCAAGGAGCTCAATCCAGTAGGGTAACGGATAGCTATGCAAATCTTGGGAATCCAAAATGGAAAAGCAAAGGTACTAAGTGCACTGGGAATATGGAAAGTGGCCAGGGAGGATGGGAATGGAATTCCTTTCCAGCCACCCCAGGAAGCAGCATCACAACCATGGCAGTAAATGGGACATGCAGGGAGAGAAGCCAAGACAAATTATGGAGACTCATTAGTTTTATCTAGTGCTGGACCAGATCACAGCACTGGCTAGCTAAGGAAGTCAGAGTTGTAGGGAGTTGGAAGAAGTTCTGGAAAGTTTCTATGACTTGAACCTTGTCTCTGTATACTATGTTTAGTTGTAGAAGTAAAGAAATTGTCCTAAAAGCAGAGATGGAAACTGTACGTGCCAATAATAAGAGCTAATGGTGTCTGAGTATCCACTCTATGCCAAACACTTTAATATAAAATGAGTATTATATCTAGACATGTAGTTTTTTAGTCCCCAGGAACGCATTTTCCCCTTCTTCCTTGTAGTAGAATATGTGCCTTTCCCATTACAGACAATATTTTCCAGGCTTCCCTGTAGTTTAATTTGACTGTGACTTAGTTTTCATCAATAGAATGTGAGTAAAAGTCATGTAGGTAACTTACACATCACTTCCCCAAAGAAGTGCCCTTCACTTCCTTTTTCCCCCTTTCCACTGGCTGGGAAGCCCATGTGGTTTCAGTGCTTCTGGGCACAGTAGGACACCTGGAAAAAGGACATGGGCTCCTGAACAGCTCTTGTGGCAGTGAGCCCTCACCTCCTCTTGCTACTGCCTTCTGCTGCTAGCACCTCTCCTTTCCTGTGGGCAAAGATCAAACACACACGAAAGAAAGACAACATTACTAGAATTATGTCTGAGTTAAGAAAGGAGAGGCCACAGATGGGGACATGTGAGAGACTCTCATAATATGTGAACTGTGCATGCTTAGGTGAATAGATTATATAAAAATTATATTGGCTTGTTTGGAACCTTTGTTGTTTCCGTCCTGGCTTCCAGTACAGTTTCGAATGACTGAGGTTTACCTATTAAGTGTTCTCCAGGTGAGAGAAAGGTCATTGTATCAAGCCAGGCAGACTCATTCAACAAACAGGTTTTGACCATTTGCTGTGTGTCAGGAATCAAAGACGAAAATACACAATCTCACCTCTCAAGATTTGTTGACTAGTGGGAAGATGTGTACATATAAAAACAGTATTGAGAGGAAAGTATCAACACAAACTGTTTGTTTGTTTGTTTAAATCATGTATTGGCTTACGTAAATCTGCAGTTCAAGGGTTCACCATGTCTGCCGCTGCCCCTGCCTAGATTCAGGATCCTCTCCTCTCCCTCAGGAAGAATCTCCTTCAGTCTTCTTTACAGTCCAATCTTTATGAAAGTGGCTGTCCCTTTCCTTCATTCACCCAACTATTAGTTGTACAAAATTGTACAAAATTCACTTATCAGCTCACACCCTGAGCTAAGAAGTGAAGATACAGACGTTTACAGGCAAAGAGCCTTTCCACATGAAACTTACATTCTAGATGGAGACAGACAATAAATAATTAGAGAAATGAGCTAATGACTGGCTGTGGCAAGTTCTGTGAGGGGAAAAAATCCTTCTCTCTATAGTCCCTCGTGGAGGCTGACACTGAATGAAGTGGAAGAAAGGCCTTCAGTTGACAGTTTTGTGGAGACCAGAGAGCATGAACACTGTAAGTAGAGGTGATAGCAAGTACAAAGGCCCTGGGGTGGGAAGAACAGGATGGGGTGGAAACACAGGAAGGAGCAAGTGTGGTTATGGTGCAGTGAGAGAGAGAGTGGGATAGGGTTCACCCTATCTTCAGATTCACCCGAAGAAGTTCATCTTCTTCAGGTTCACCCGAAGAAGTTGCAGAAGGCAGGCTGTGGGATAACCCACAGACATCCAAAAGAGTTTGGATTTTATTCTACATACAATGAAATGTTTGCTTTAAAAGGAATCTCCTGGCTACTACGTGGGCAAAGTATAAAGTTAAATTCAGAAGTAGATGGACCTCAGGTCCTTGTCTGTCCACAGCAATCCATGCCTGGGCTCCACAAGGTATGCAGGAGCCCTTTTCGTAACTGTAGACCCTGTATCAGTGATGTCCCATAGAACTTCCCGCAAAGATGTAAATGTTCCATATCTGTGCTATCCAATCCCAAGCTGCTAGACAGGAGCTCTTGAGCACATGAAATGAGGCTAGGTGTGACTGAGGAAATGGATTTTTAATTTTTTTTTCCATTTAAATTATTTAAATTTATAGATCCACATGTGGCTAATGGCTGTTGTACCGTGCCGTGCAAAGCAATACTGGGTGTCTGAGGATTTCAGCTTTGATTCCCAAAGCCAGGGCCTTCCCGCAAAGGTGAGTGAGCAGAGGGCATGTTACTCCCTAAACGCTAACACCCTCTGTGCGTTCAGCTTGTCAAGATGGAGACGAATAGGAGGCATTCTGAGCTTCATTTTGCCCCTGGGGAGGCACGTGCACAGGGTTATGAGGCGCCCCACGCGCGTCCTCAGGGGAAGTCCCGCACTGCGAACAAAGGTTTGGGGACCTCTCTTTCCAGAACGCATAAGCCCTGCGCTCTCGCGGCCGCGGGTGCGGTGCAGCCATTGGCAGGAGGAGAACATCGGACCGCAGCGCCTCGCCCCGCCTGCGACACCGGCTCCGGGCGCAGGACAGGTGGGCTGGGGAAGGAAGGATCCGCGAGCCGCCGAGCGACGTTGGAGGTTCGGGGTCCCTCGCCGCGCAGTTGCCTCTTCCTCACGGGGATGGGGGCGGGGGTGGCGCGGGCGGTCACCCGCACCGGATCTGCTTCCCGGGCTTGCTTTCGCTTTGGCGGGGGCTTGGCTAGGCCTGCGCACCGCAAGCTAGCGGAGAAAGCCGCGCAGGTGGCGGCCGAGGAGGGGCGGAGGCTGGTGCCTTTCGCCCTTCAGGACCCGCTGCCTTCTCCCTCAGGAGGCGTCCCGGGCTCTGACTCGGTGCCCTGAAGCGCGCGTGGCTCCTGGTTGGCCGTCAGGCACCCCTGACCTTGGTTTCTCCCCGGTGCCAGGTCTGCGCAAGGACCATGGGCGCCACGCTGGGCACGGGCGCGCGGCTGGCGCTCCTTCGGGGCCAGGCCTGCGGCGGCGTCTCGCGCTGGACGCCCTCCGCGCCCGCCCGCGGCTGCCACTCCAAATCCGGCCCGGCTCGCCCCGTGCCCCTGAAGAAGCGCGGATACGATGTCACCAGAAACCCGCATCTCAACAAGGTAACGGTCGCGGAGGGTACGGTGGCCCTAGCGGCTGTCCTGTGGCGGGCCGGGAGGGGCGCCCCGCCCCCTGGGTCTGGGCTGGATCTTCCCAGGCGCCCTTCCAGAGGTTTTCCATTCTTGTCGTGCAGAGGCTTCGCGTTTGTCGGTTTGGCTCCCTCCCCTCCCCGCTCTTCTGCGCGGAAAGCGGTGACCGGTAATGCAGGGAGCCTCGTCGCTTCCACAAGAACAATAAAGACTGGTTAAGGTCCTCTGACCAGTCTGACCTGTGGTCGGAGCTCCGCCTGAGGTTTACTAATTCTGTTGGTCGCGGGTAGTTCATTTCGCCTCTGTCAAGCACGTTTTCGTATCTGTAAATGAGGGACAGTTGCCCCTGGTGTGTAGTGAGATTTAGAGAGAAAATGGAGGCAGAGTTCTTAGCATAGTACTTGACACCCAGTGAGAACAAATGTCAGCTACGGTTATAACTGTTATTCTGAGAAAAAGATCATTTTTGAGAGCTGGGAGGAAAAGGAAGGCTAGAATTACAGAACTTTTAGACCTTAATGGGCATCAAAGATCCTAATTCAAACCTCTCCTTTTACAGATGAGAAAACAAAACAAAGAAAACTAGCTCAAGGTCACCAGCTAGTTAGTTCTGGCCCTGCCACTGGAATCCAGAACGTGGTGCTTAAGATTCTGGGAGTAGAGTTTAGTATTACTGGAGTTAAAACCCTGGAAGCAGAGACCTGGATTTAAGGCCTGTATCCCGACACCTCCTCAGATTAACTTGGGCATCTCATTTAATACTTACTTTTACGTAGATATTCAGGTTCAACTTTCTCCTGCCTAAAATGGATATAATGACAGAACCACCATTCCTACCTCATCTGGTTATTGTGACAATCAAATGAATTACTAAACTTGAAATACTATTTTAAGCTATATAGAGTACTTGATAAATAGGTAATCACTACAAAATAAAATTTTTAATAATTTCTTTGACTCAGAATTGTGAAATGCAAGTGAGAAAACACATGTGGAAAGGTTTTTTTTGAGAAATAATAATATTATACAGATGCTAAGTATTAGGATTATTTCCTACAGAATTAATAGAAGAAGCTAAGGAAAAAAAAATCTTTCAACCTCTGCTTATTGCACTACTCCTTGGTCCCCCCCCAAAAGACTGTAAATCTTTTGTATATTACTACTTTGGGATACTTAAAGTGTCTTATGAATTGTAATTGCTTTGGTAGCAAACTGGCTTGACCAACAAATACCTTCTTTTACTAAATATGTACAGAAAGGATTGCAGGCAAGGCTTGACCCTGCAGTGCAGATGGCGTCTCTAAGGATGCAGGTTCTCTCTGGCTCTCTGTTCTGCTTCTTTAATGTCAGCTTCGTCCTCAGGCTTCAGGCAGTGGAGCCTTTCACCTCAATGCTGGCATAATCTCCTATCTCCTTTTCTCACACCACACTGTGCAAGGATAGAAAGACACTTTCTTTGGGAAAGGAGGATACTTTCTGAAGCCTCAGAGAAAGAGTCCTTCTGTCTCATTGACTCTGATTGAATTCCCTTCCTATTCTCAAACCAATTTTCCTAATTTAAGCCAGTCAGGGCTCACCCCTGAAATTAAAGAGAAAGTTTAAGGTAGGATCACTCCAACTGGTTTAGAGTAAAAGGATGTGATTCCTCCACAGCAAATCTGTGTCCTGTCATCAGACGAAGAAGGGATTGGTGCTGGAAAGCAAAACAATAAATTCCCACTACAGACTCCAGGGGTTTTGATAATACTTGCCTTAGAAATACTGGCATATTATCAATCACCACTTACTGCTTTGGGACTAGTTTAAAAAAATAAAGGAAGGGCTTGAATGTCTTCTTTTTTAGCCCTAAGTTTGGGGCGCTTTAAAAACACTCTTCCCTTGTCCCTGATATAATTTTTTTCCCCTCCTAACTAGTAAAAGTGGGACGTTGTCCATAAATCTAAGGGATCGAACCTTTTGTAATGTTCCAAAATCTTTGTATGTCCCTGAAGTCCGTTGATGCTGGTCTGGGGTGAGGCAGGTATCTGGGGTGATGCAGAGGGCTGGAGGAGGAGCAGTGGAAGGAGAAGCAGGGCAGGGAGCTGCTGAGGACGCCCTTCACTTCCCTCTGGAGCGTCCCTCTTGCTGTTCTGCTGACTTACAGCACTCCGAGAGAGTGGGCTCTTTCCATCAGGCAGCTGGGGAGACCTGCTGAGTTAAACAGAACAACTGAGGTTATCGCTGAGAACATAAGAGAATGGCAGCTTGGCAGGGAACTGCACTTAGAGCGTGGGTCTGTGGGTGGATTTTTTCCTGCTAGGTTGTGAGCACCTCCAGGGCAGGGGCTGTGTTTCATGCATTTGTGGTGGCACAGGGTAGTTCCTGAAAGATCTAGCAAGGCCATGAACATGAATATTAGCATTACATTCTTGCAGTGTGTTTACTAGATTCTTTTTAATTTTTATCTTTAACTATTTTTTTAAATTGATGTATAGTTGACATTCAGTGTATTAGTGTCAGGTGCAGTTGTTGCTAGAGGCGAGGGAGGTGGGGGGATGGGTGAAATAGGTGAAGGAGATTAAAAGGTGCAGACTTCCAGTTATAAAATAAGTAAGTCACAGGGATGTAAAGTATATGTGTTCACTAGATTTGCATCCTACGTTATGAGTATTCTTCGATTGCATGTTTAAAATTTTTTTAATTTAAATTCAATTTATTTAACATATACTATATTATTAATTTCAGGGGGTAGAATTTAATGATTCATCAGTTGCATACAAATGCCCAGTGCTCATTCCATCAAGTGCCCTCCTTAATGCCCATCACCCAGTTACCCCATCTTCCTACCCACCTCCCCTCCAGCAATCCTCAGTTTGTTCCCTAGAGTTAAAAGTCGCTTTTGGTTTGCCTCCCTCTCTGTTTTTATTTTATTTTATTTTTTCTTCCCTTCCCCTGTGTTCATCCGTTTTGTTTCTTAAATTCTGCATATGAGTGAAATCATATGGTATTTGTCTTTCTCTGATTTATTTTGCTTAGCATAATCGCCTTTAGTTCCATTCATATCATTGCAAATGGCAAGATTTCATTCTTTTTGATGGCTGAGTAATATTCCAATGTGTGTATATATGTGTGTGTGTGTGTGTGTGTGTGTGTGTACACACCACATCCTTTTTATCCATTCATCTCTCAGTGGACATCTGGGCTTTAGATAGGTCAGGAGAGACATTTAAGAAGCTTGAGGGCAGAGCATTGTCAGGAGGTGGAATTCTCCAGAAGAACAGCTGCTAAATAGACCAAGCAGCACCACTGTTCTATAATGAATGGGTCTGGTTCCTGCTCTGTCATAATCTCACTGTGAGATCTGTGACAAGCTCAGGGACCCCTCTGCCCTTGTCCCACCACTGTTGTAAGGATCATGGGAGATGCCTGGGAAATCATTTTGAAAACTGTGGTGAGATAATCAGATGATCATGTGGACACTTCCCAGAGCTGGGACCGGAGAAGCCTGTAGAGAAGACCTAGTCTGGAAGTTTTCAGATTACGGGTCACAAATTGTGGGACATGAAGTTAGCTTAGTGGGTCTTACCAGCATCTTAATTTTTTTAAAAGTGGGTTAGAATAGAATTTAAAAACAGCAAATGCATTAAATGTAATAAAGAAGAGTATTAAATCACCGTGTGAAATGCCAATTTTCACTGTGGATTTTTGTTTAAAAAAACAAAAGCATTTGAACATCGTTGTTCTCATTCAACACGTCAGTTTCAGATGAGGGACCAGACTGAGAAAGTCAAGTAACCCCACAGAGACTGTCACTGGTTGCGAAAGTGGGAAGAAGCAGCCCACCTCCTGAATTTCAGGCCAGTGAACAGCGATGACATTTCCCATGTACATCTGCTTTGGCTGATTTAGACAGATTCCTAATAATGACAGGGTTGGAACTAGATGATTCTGAGTTCCCTGCAGGAGTCTGTGTTTTCTAAGTCATACAAATGCACTGGTACATCAATTTTTATTTCCTTTTTTACTCCTACCGTTCATCTCAGATTTGCACCAGACCTTTTCTATTATCCATGGTGACTGTGGCAACAGAGCAGAGCTTTCATTCTGTATTACAAGATGTCAGCCATATTTTACTTACATTAAATAGGCAACGATGAACTCTATTTCATTGTCATAGGCAGGTATCATCCCCATTCTGTTCAGGTAGCAAATGGGCCTTCAAACCATTTCTGGGCTCAACTTACCTATAGCCTCTCTTAGGAAGGGCTGTCCTATTCCCTGCTCCTGAAACAAGATTTGAGCACCGCCCCCACCAACCCCGCTTGTCTTATTTCTCTGTGTTTGTTTCCTTTTGGCCCTGAGCACCTGTTATAAGGTCTGGTTGGTGTGTCTTCCACCCTGGGCCCTGGGTACCCTGCAGACGGACTCTCTCTGACACATGATATTCTCTATGTCTGACTTGAGATGCTCAATGAATATTTGCTCTTGAAATGACCTCAACTGAGTCATGACCCCTTTGCTCTCAATGTTATTAATCCTACTGCCACTACTTTATAGTTAGCCTGATGCCCTCATTGTCTAGAAAAATGCCCACCAATGGCCTGTGTGAAGGAAAAAGACCTCCTTGGCTCTTATCTCCCCACATTTAAGGACATTTCACTGCACAAGTCTGTTATTTCCCAGAGCACATCAACCTCCTCCTTTGACCCACATGCCAGTGATGGATTTTTGCCTTCCACCACCCACCGCCTGCTTCTTGGCAGTTTTTCCTCTTGGGCTTGATACGCAGGGAAAGAATGAGCGAGAAGAGTGCTCAGACCACCGTGATAACGCGCCTGCGCGTTTCAGGCCGTGGGGTCTCCGAGCTGCAGGGCCCTGTAGGTGACCACCTTCCTACGTGGACCTGGTGCCTGGAGGTCACTGAACGTGTGGAGGTCCAGTGGCCAGTGCTGCGGCATTAGCTGCACGTCTGAGGTGGCACGGGTTTCAGCTCC